TGCACACACACACACACACACACACACACAGGAGAGAAGCAGCACAAATTGAGTGCGAACAGTAAACACATAGGTGTGAAAAGTGGCCGACCTCAGCAAGGCACAGACACGGAAGCCAGATCCACAGAAGCAAGGTGCTCGTTGATGCCCGCCTGATGGGCCACCCGGGAGAAGCCTGAGGATTGGGGATGAGGCAGGAGGATAGAGAGTGCGGGGGAGGGGCAGGAGGCATGATCTCAGGAACCCCACGTGCAAGGAATGAGCAGGACCCAGCAGGGCGGGACAGGATTTTATGTCACTTTCAAACACTCGATATGGGGCAGTGGGGAGAGAAAAGGTCTGTGGGATCTGAAGAGAGTAGAGGTGAGGTGCCGGCCTGCCTCATAAGGTAAAGGTAAAGGTAAAGGCCCTCCTGTTGATCGTCGATTTGCTCGAGTGGGCCCAGTAACGTCTCCATTGGAGACTTTGTTGTTACTGTGTCTGGCCTCATAAGACCCCAGTTCAATCCCCGGCACTGCGTGGTGGCTCACCAGAGCACCACCAGGGGTCACTCCTGAGCACAGAGCCAGGAAGAGTCCCTGAGCACTGAGAGTGTAGCCGCCCCCCCCCCCCCATAAGTAAAAATAAAAAGGTCTGTGTTTGTGACAAACAGGCAGGAGGGATCTGCTGACAGGGGCTGGAGGAGTGGTGTTAAGAAAAGTCATGCAATAATGGTTACAGAGCTATCACTGTCACTGTCCTCCCGTTGTTCATCGATTTGCTCGAGCAGGCCCAGTAACGTCTCCATTGTGACACTTTTTACTGTGTTTGGCGTATCGAATACGTCACGGGGAGCTTGCCAGGCTTTGCTGTACGGGCGAAGATACTCTCGGTAGCTTGCCGGGCTCCCAGAGAGGGGCAGAGGAATCAAACTCGGGTCGGCCGTGTACAAGGCAAACACCCTACCCACTATGCTATCGCTCCAGCCCAGTTACAGAGCTTTAAAAAAAAAAAATTAAAAGTCAGCAAGTCACACCCTTACAATGGGTGAATTTTGTGGTCTGTAAATTAGATCTCAATAAAAACAATCGGACAAGAGAAATAATACCTATTAAAAGGTAAAGGTAAAGACCCTCCCGTTGATCGTCGATTTGCTCGAGCGGGCCCAGTAACGTCTCCATTGGAGACTTTGTTGTTACTGTGTCTGGCATATCGAATACTCTCGGTAGCTTGCCGGGCTCTCCGAGAGGGGTGGAGGAATCGAACTCGGGTTGGCCATGTTGGCTGCATGCAAGGTGAACGCCCTACCGCTGTGCTATCACTCCAGCCCAGTTCGAGATCACCTGGCCGGTGTGCACGGCTCGGTGGGGAGCTTGCCGCAGGGGGTGTCGGGCCGACCCCAGCCCGGCGCCCCCCCCACCCCCACGGGCTCCAGAAAGGCAGCACCGTTGTTGCTCTGGTGGTGAATACCTATTAAGTTTTAAAAATGTTAATGGTGGGGACATGGTGCACAGGGTTGGATAACTGGCCTGGCCTACAAGAGGCCCCACGTTTGATCCCCGACACTTCAAGGTTCCCCTGAGCACCCCCAGGGATCGTTTCCTCCTACCCCCCAGAAATAAAGTATGCAGGAATGAAAAATATCACGGGAAAACCGACGGGACTCTGAGGGGGATGGGCACAGCTGTTGGGGAGGGCACACTGGGGGAGGGGTCTGCATTGGCAATGTCTTATTACTCTTAAAAAAGTAGGAATACGGAGGCCGAAGAGACAGCACAGGGGTTAAGATGCCTCCTTGCACTTGGCCAACACCCATTTGGTTACTGGCGCACATGTGAGTCCCACCTACACATGTTGTTCCCCCCATCACCACCAGGGGTCACTCCTGTGTACAGCCAGGAATAGCCCCTGCCCACAGCCTCCCAATAAAGATTAAGAAAATAATAAAAAACAAGGGTTGGAGGGGCCAGAGAGATAGCACAGCCGGGAAGGCCCCTGCCTTGCGTGCAGCCAACCCAAGTTCAAACCCCAGCACCCCACAAGGGCCCCTGAGCCTTGCCAAGATTGATCCCTGAGCAAAGAAACAGAAGTAAACCCTGAGTACTGGTAGGTGTGGCCCAGAAACTAGAAAGAAAAATAAAAATTCCTGCCTGTGGGGTTGGGATGCCGGCTCAGAGGGAGGAACGCCAGCTTCGCACGTGGAAGCCCCCCCCATCCAACTCCCTCCACAGCATGGTCTTCTGACGGTGAGTCATAAGTCCCGGGGACCAGCACTGTTGGCTATGCCCCCACCTCCCACCAACAAGCAACTCTGCCTTGGAGAGACCCTGCAGTGTTCACAACGTGCAGACCACAGAGGTGGTGTTCAGAGAGGTCAAGAGACCAGCCTGAGGTCACACAGCACACAGCTGCCGAGCTCAGGAACCTCAGGAGGCCCTGCAATGCTCTCAGGGAAGGGGACACCAAATGAGACGGCCTTTGGGACACGGCCACCAGCTGCCACGCTCCCGCCCTTTCCTACTGGCGTGTGGGGGTGGGGCATAACAGCTGCCAAGCTGGGGAGAGGGTCTGTGGCAGAGTCTCCCTCCCACCCCCCAAGGTGCCCGCCACCCGGAAGGAGATGCTCTACTCCTACGAACAGCTCGGTCATCCATTCAAACTGCCACCCCTCTGCCGGGGATGAACCCAAAAGCCTGGCAAGAGGGGACGGGGTCCCCCTGAATCACAAGGGTGGCTCAACCAGAGGCAGGAAAACAAATGTGGTGGTGAAACCCTCCGCGTGACTCGGGCCGGTCCCTCGTCACGGGGACAGGGAGGCGGGCATCTCCCTGGCTAACCCTGGGCTCAGGGACCTCCAGCCTGGCCAAGCCCCTGCTCCCCCCACCAGGGAGCAGGCACCTCACCACATCATCTGGGGGGGGGGATCCCAAATTCAAGAGCACTGAGAGATCCCTCTGTTTCAGGGCCCCCTCCCCCACCCCTGGAAGGGCTTGGAGGTTGAGGGCGACGCCCCACAGGGCCCAGCACCTTGGCCACCCTGGCAGGGGCCCTGCGGGAGGGAGCTGACGCCAGGGAAGGAAAAAGCCACAGAGCAGCCACGGCGGAGGCTGACGGAGAAGCTGCGGGCGGCAGGATTCTGGGCTTCTCGGCAGGCCTGGCTTAGGGGAAGTGGGGTTCGGGGGTGCCGGATCCAGACAACCCTGAAACTGCACTTGTGTTTGGGGGGCCACACCCAGCCGTACTCAAGGTGGGGGCTATGCGGTGGCCTCGGCTTCCTGGGCCTTAATGTGCGCCTCTGTGAAACGGGCACCAGCCCCCCTTCCTGAAAGGCCAGAGCAGGCCCCAGGCCAGCTGACCGCCGGGGCTGCCAAGAAGCGGGTCTGTCCCGGCTCAAAAGAGAAACCGGTGGGCAGCATCTGACGCAGCTGGCCCCCAAAATAAGGTGGGGGGATGGGGTGGAGTAAGGGCAATCTGTGTGGTGGTGGGGGGGGGGCTGGAATTGAGGAAAACTTTGCTCTGTCATTATGGGGTGGGGGGCGGCCCTGGGCCACAGCCAGTGGTGCTCAGGACTCACTCCTGGCTCTGCACTCAGGGGTCACTCCTGGGGGTGCTCCGGCTGCCATATGGGGTGCCGGGGATCCCACCCAAGTCTGCCGCGGGCAAGGCAAGCACTTTACCCATTGGCCGTACTATCTCTCCGGGCCCCCAACTTCACTCTATTTAAAGATGCCACAAGTCCAGGAAATAGCTTCCCACCGCCCTGGCCAAGGGCTGAATAACAGCCTGCCCAGCCAATAACAATACACACTCAGCACACCCAGCGTGGCCCGGGTCTCCCGCTCCCTCCTGCCAGAATTTTACAGGCAGTTCCTGGGGAGGGGGGGGGTCAGCGCATGGGGGGGGGGCTCTTGAGATCAGCTCTGGAAGAACGGGCCTCTTCAGAGGAGACACCCCGGCCAGCCGCCGAGGCCAGCTCTAGCTGGGAGGCCAGGGAGGTGAATTTAAGCAGCCAACGCCTCGCCTTCTTCTGCTCCTCATTGTTCCCCACTTCTTTGTTAGAGCTTTTCTCCCTCCCTCTTGCTCCTTTCCCCTTCCTGGTTAACTTTGGGCAGCTGGACTCTGCCCCTTCTCACCACCAGGGACCCTGGTGTCCCCTTCGCTCCCTCTTCCCCCCAGCCACAGGGGCCTCCCAACGCTTCGTCACCCCCACAACCCCATTGCCCTGCACCCAGAACCTCCGAGATGTCCCAGGGACCCTGGAACCTGCAGATTCAGCTCAGAGGCGCCCCTGGGAAGCCAATTCCCCACCTGCGGGTACCCCCCCCCAAACCGCCACACACACCTTTCAGAATCCTGCAAGCCCGAAACCAGCTGGCCAAGGGAGCCTGCCCCCTCCCACCTCTGAGCCTCAGCCTTCCCATCTCTGCGAATGCAAGCTTTGAGCCCATTTCTCTCCCGCGGTGCCAGCTGAAAAGACGATCCCTGGAGGTGCCAAGGAGGAAACTTTCCCACAAGTAGAAGTTCTTGGGGGGGCGGGGGGCGGGGGCCGGGGGCGTGCTCAAGGTGCAGACGCTCGGAAAAAGGGTCTTTGCTGCAGAAAGGCTGGTCCGTGCAAAAGGAGGGGCACGGCCCAGGCGACCCCTAGGGGGGCTCCCAAGGGCTGGGCAGGGCAGGGCGGGTGGCCTGGAGGCGCTTCCCTCTCTCTCTCTCTGTCCCCGGCTCCTGCGGGCTTGCAAGCCGGGCTGGGGCCAGACTTCGGCAGGGGTGGGCCGGGACGGCAGTGGGGGCCCGGGAGGGCGGGCGGGAGAAGGGGCTGCGGCGGGCGAGGCGGGGGCAGCGCCGAGGGGCCGAGGGGCCGGAGCCCGGGGCCGGCGGGCGGGGGGAGGGGCGGCGCCGGCCGGGAGACCCGGGCAGCGCGGCGCTGGGCCCGGGGGCCGCGGGAGGCAGAAGTTTGCAGCGCGGGGCGTGGGGGGGGTGGGCTCCCGGGGCCCGAGGGGGCGTGGGGGGCGCGCGGCACTCACATAATGCTTGTTGGGCACCCGCCGCTTCTGCACGTCCAGCACCTTCACCTCCACGATGCTGCGCCGCGGCGGCATGGCCGCTCCTGCGCGGGGCCGAGCGCGGCTGCGGGGCGGGTGGACGCCGCCGCCGCGGCGGGGTCGAGAGCGGGAAGCGGAGCCGGGGCCGAGCTCGAGCCGCCGCCGCCGCCGCCGTCGCCGCCGCCGCCGCCGCCGCCCTTCGCTCCGCGCGCCCCAGGCCCGGCCCGCGCCGCCGCCAGCGCCAGACTCGCCCCGCGCCCCGCCCCCGGGCAGGCCCCGCCCCCACGGCGGCCCCGCCCCGGGCAGGCCCCGCCCCGCGCGGCTGGCCCCACCCCCGCGCCGCCGCCAGCCCCAGGCTCGCCCCGGGCCCCGCCCGCCCGGATGGCCCCGCCCCCGACAGGCCCCGCCCACACGTCTAGCCCCGCCCCGCGGCCCGTTCCAGGCTCGCCCTGCGCCCCGGACACGCCCCGCCCACACGGCTGGCCTCGCCCCCGCCAGCTCCGAGCTCCCCGCCCCTGGCGCCCCGCCCCTTTAAAGGGCCAGCCCACCCTCACCCCCCGCCCCGCGGGATGCTCGTGGACCAGGCTGGCTGTCCCACGTCCTGCCTGCATCGGGGCCTTTGTCCCGACGCGACCAAGGGAGGGGACGGGCGCGCGCCTTCGCCATCCGTTCGCTCCTGGACCCGCCGTGTCCTGCCCGCACTCGTTTGCTCCACTCGTTTGAGCCCAGGTGGAGCGCCGGGCTTTAGGGCCCGGGACCCCGCGGCTTTGCAAGTCGGCTGGCTCTGTGGCCTGGGGAGAGGGTCTTCACCTCCCGGCGCTGACTGTTCGTCCGCAAAACGGACTCGTGCCAGCCGGGGCTGTCCTCGCGGTGGCAATTTCTGACCGCCACGGTTTGGACGGGGACAGTGGTGAATCCAGGTCTCCGAGCCCTGGCGGGGAGGTGTTCAAGGAGGCGCCCGAAGCTAAAGGCTCCTGGGGTTCTAGACAGGGAGAGGAAATGCATAAGAAATGCAGGAGCTTGAAGCAGAACTGGTGACGCGGCGGCGGTGAGTGAGCCTGCGGGTGCTTTCAGATCCGGCTCGCAGGAATTGCCTAGGATTTTTTGAGGCCACACCCAGTGGTGCTCAGGGCTCACTCTCTGTTCTGCGCTCAGGGATCACACCCTCCCCCCCACCGCTAGGCTCAGAGGACCAAATGGGATGCTGAGGATGGAGCCCAGGTGAGTGGCGTGCAAGGCAAGTGGCCTTCCCTCTGGACCTTCTCTTCGACCCCCATCAGAAATATCTTTTCTCCACCATGTGCTCCCTAGCCTTCTCTGGGCAATGAATCATTTTTCAGAGTTGCTGGCAGGGCAAATGATTGAATAAACCTCCACCCCGGAGCCCAGCGCATATGGGAGGCATCATGACCTCACACTTGCAAGGCAGGAGCATTTACCCATTGGGCTAGAAATACACACACACACACACACACACAGAGGAAACGGACTCTTGAGCACACTTTTCCCTTAACCCATTCTGAGGCTTTGTCTGTTTCACAGATCTAGCTCTTGTGGATTTCAGGGGCAAGCTTAAGAACCGGGAAGTGTCCAGTTGGTGCCCATCTGGCTTCCCACACTTGTCACCTCAACTTCCGCAGGACTAGGACTCAATCCTTCCTAATAAGGCAGAGCCACAGGAGGCAGAGAGGAGAGGAAACGTGTGAATCAGCTTCCTGGGTTTTCCCTGGAAGGTGCTGAGACCTGGCACGCCCCCCACCCGCCCCCTCCGTCTGTCACACACTGAGCACCTTGCCCGCTGCCCCTCCCCCCTTATGCCTCACCCCTTCAGCCGCCTCAGGCCTAAACCACAAGCTTTCCGGGCCAAATGCCTGCCCTGTAAAAGGTAAGTCCCTTCCTCGTCCTTGTGCTTCTTTCAGTGGAGGGATGCTTAGACCAGGTGCAGTGGACCATTCCAGCCCGCTGCCGGGTTCCAGCAGCTTATGCTCACTGCTCTGCCCTCATCACTGCCATGCTTTGCCAGCTGAGACAGTCCCCGCACTAAACACTAACTCCCCAACAATCCCTGTCTCCACTGCTGGCCACTCCCAAAGGGTAGGGCTTTGTGCACATGCTGGGCCGCTCTCCACCCCCTCATCTGCAGGATGGAATAAGCATGGAGGCCAGGAGAGATAGTACAGAGGTTAAGGCGCTTGCTTTGCACATGACCGACCCGGATTCAGTCCCCCACAACCCATACGGTCCCCGAGCACCACCAGCACTGATCCCTGAGTACAGAACTAGGAGTAAGCTCAGGTGTGGCCCCAAAACAAAACAAACACAAACTAAACAGAAAACAAGAAAGAATCAACACTTAAAGTGGGCCAGGGAGATAATTCAACAGGCTGGAGCACATGTCTTGCATGTCATGTGAGAGTCCCAAGTTTGATCCCCCACACACTCTCTTGGTCCCAGAGTGTTGCCAGGCCCAAGTAGATCCCCACTACTTTGAGGTGTGGCCCCAACACCTCCCCCCCCCCCCAAATAATAACCCATTACAGAGCCCGGGGTGTGGATTGAGTGGTAGGGCACACACTTTGTCCCCTGTCTTAGCTTCTCCCGCCCTCACCAGCAGGAGTAAGTGCTTGGAGGCTTATTCTAATGAGATAATACACAAAAGCACCTGATTTTTGCTTTTTTTTATTAATCAGCCAGATACAACTCACCATTTGACCTGTTCAAATCCCACTGTCACTGTCTTCCCGTTGTTCATCGATTTGCACCAGTAATATCTCCATTGTGAGACTTGTTACTGTGTTTGGCATATTGAATACGCCACGGGGAGCTTGCCAGGCTCTGCTGTGCGGGCGGGATACTCTCGGTAGCTTGCCGGGGTCTCCGAGAGGGATGGAGGAATCAAACCCGGTTGGCTGCATGCAAGGTACACATGCTACCTACCCATTGTGCTATCGCTTCAGCCCGAATCCCACACTTGGCTTTGTTTGTTTTGGGGCCATACCCAGCTGTGCTCAGGGCTGACTCTTGGTTCTGTGCTCAGAGATGACTTCTGACAGGGCTGGGAGGACCCTATTGGGCGACAGGCATTGAACCTGGATCAGCTGCACTCAAGGCCAACATCCTACCGTTGTTCTAACTCTTCCCACACTTGACTTTAATCCTGCCATTTAATCCACTTCATGGCCAACCATTGCCTCCATTTTCCCCAAGCACCAATGATAGAAATGATTTATCATGTCCAGAAGCGAATATTTTTCCATCCACATGCTTGGGCAAATGCTATTCATTTCCTCGCCTTGTCTGTGGGTAACCTTGTCTCCTGACTTCAAAGCCCAGCTTGGATGTCACTTCCTCTAGGAAGCCTGGTGTCCCTGGTATGTAACTGCTTCCTTCCCCAGACAACAGCAATAGGTTCCGGACATCATTCTGGGCAGGTTCTGAATGAAGGTCTGTAAGACCATCCTACAGACCTGGGCAGATTCTTACAGCCCTCAGTTCTTACAGTTCCCAAGGAAATGGATTAGTCTTAAATACCTCAGCACCTGGCACAGACTGGCACAAAGGAGCCCCATGGATAGGCTTGTGGGATGAGAACGTTTCCTAACCCCATTTCCTTTTTGATTTTCTTGGGTGGGGATGCCCAGTGGAGCTTGGGAGGCTACTTTGGCTCATTGCTCGGGGGATGGTCCTGGCAGTGTTTGAGTTTAAGTGTCATCTCCAGGGCGGAAGAGATAGTCCAGGGCACCACCATGCCCTCAAATCATTGCCGGGTAAAATGGAGGCAATGAATGGGTAGGCAATGAGATGGGATTAACTGGTAGGATTAATGTCAGGTGTTGGAGTTAGATCAGCAGGTAGTGTGTCCACCTTACACTGCAGACCCCTGAGCACCATGGAGTGGTCCAGGAAATTGCCAGCAACAAGGGCCCAACCTGCCACAAACCCTCCAGTGCTCACAGGGACTCCCTGGCCCGCTGGTCTGAGAATCCTTCAAATAAACAGAGGAAAATGAATAAAATAAACACCATCTCTGGGGCCAGAGAGATGGATCTCTGAGCTGGAGCACACACTTGGCATGCCAGAGGCCTGGGTTGAAACCCTGACTCCGCGTGGTCCTGGAGTGCCCCTGGTCCCTGAAGAGGGAACCAGGAGTCGCCCCTGACCACTATTGGGAGTGGCCAGCTAATTACTGAACGTCATCTCTGCCGCAGTCTTCCCTGAAATAGCCCCCTCATCCTCTCTCCCACGAGGCCCTCCTCCACAGCACCGTCACTCTGGTTCTCTGTATCATTTGTTCTCTCCACCAGGGCCACCCTTACAACACCCTTACAGCTTGGTCAGTCTTACCCACCAATGCAAGCCCGGGGCCATTAGGATCTCCTCAGTCTTGTGGAAGAAGGGAAGGGCTGTCTTTCCCACTGGAGGGCCGTCTGTCCCACCACTGCTTCCCTGCGGCAACAGATCACAAGCTGCTCAGCAAATGAGTGAGTGAATGAATGAATGAACAAATAGAATGGATGATTCAGGCAAGATGAAATGTGCCCTGAGATTTAAAATGGGGGTTTCGAGTGCCTGAGAACAGGCGACTGTTTAAAGAAACTCCGGTACATCTACACAATGGAATACTATGCAGTTGTTAGAAAAGATGAAGTCATGAAATTCGCATATAGGTGGATCAACATGGAAAATATCATATTAAGTGAAAGAGAGTCAGAAAAAGGGGGACAGGCATAGAAAGATAGCACTCATTTGTGAAATATAAAGTAACAGAATGGGAGACTAACACCCAAGAACCAAGAACCCAAGAACCAAGAACCAAGTACCAGGAGGATTGCTCCACAGCTTAGAAACTGGACTTGCAATGCTGGGGGGGAAAGGCAGCTCAAATAGAGAAGGGACCACCAAGTAAAGGGTGCTAGGAGAGGGTGAATATGTCATGGTGGGTGAGAGCAGCACCACTTTGGTCTGAGACAAATAACTGAACAGCTCGGGATGGGAGATGCGGACTGAAAGTAGACTATAGACCGAACATGATGGCCGCTCATACCTCTATTGCGAACCACAACACCCAAAAGGAGAGAGAGATTAAAAGGGAATGCCCTGCCACAGAGATGGGGTGGGGCGGAGGGGACAGGGCAGGGGTGGTGGGAGGGATGCTGGGACCATGGGTGGTGAAAAATGGGCACTGGTGGAG